AAAATATAAAAGCTAAAAAATGTAAAAGAAGCTTCTTGAGCAAACAATTAAAAATATTTGAAATTTATGTATACAGGGTGATTGATATAAGTGTGCCAGCCGTTTTATTCGAAAACCATAATAAATATCAAAAAAAAGTTAAATAATAAGTTCCTTGGATTTTTATTTTAAAAATTGTAGTAAAGTCGGAAAATTTTTTTAGCCGCCATTTTTCCAATATGGCCGCCAACTTTGATTTTTCTTATGGAACACCCTGTATTTCATGATGTATTCCGGTAGAAAATGTAATTTTAAGACGATTTATTCTTGTAATTCTTTTCATAAACCTAACCGTTTCAAAGATAATAATGGTTAAAGTTGTTAAATTTTGAATAGTTTTTGAATAAAACAGCTGGAATGCCTGCTTAGGCCTTTATCGAAACTCTTTCTTATGCCTAATTTTTAAAACTTTAAACATTATTATCTTTGAAACGGTTAGGTTTATGAAAAAAATCCCAAGAATAAAATCGTCTGAAAATTACATTTTCTACCAGAATACATCATAAAATACAAGGTGTTTTGTAAGAAAAATCAAAGTTGGCGGCCATATTGAAAAAATGGCGGCTAAAATAATTTTTTTGACTTGACTAAAATTTTTAAAATAAAAAATCCAAGGCACTTACCATTTAACTTTTTTTGATATCTCTTATAGTTTTAGAATAAAACGGCTAGCACACTTATATCAATCACCCTGTATATTCCAATAATTTTTTTTGCATGACACACCATGGGTTTAATCACCATTATTTTTATTGTTTCAGTGTGTAAGATATATTTACACTCGGTGTACATTTTCCATTTATATTTATTATGCCCAATCGACAAACCACAGAAAATATAATCTCGACATTTTTCATTTAAAGTCAAGTATTGTTATTCAGGGTAATTCTTAACGATTGATTAATTAATTGATTGATTAATTAATTAATTAATGCACTTTTGAAACACTATTAATGAAACAAATACACAACTTATCATCATGGGATGAGAATCAATTGAAAGAGGAGAATCTAAAGATTTGTTTAACACCACTTTCGTAAACTCATTTGCAAAATTAGCCTCTACAGAAATTTTTAGATGTTTACTAATACTTTAAATTAATTACACAATTTAAAATTGATGAATCTCTAAAATACAAAACCACAGCTTACAATAATGGTGTACAACAATAACTGAGTGGTAAATTATAGAACTAATTAATTTAAAATCGTAGTTAAAATTTAAAAATGTATGTAGAGGCTAATTTTGCAGCTATGTTTACCAAAGTGGTGTCAAACAAAACTTAGAATCTCGTATTTCAATTAGTTCTCATTCCACGACGATAGGTTGTATTGTTTTTCATTAACAGAGTTTCAAAAGTGTATCAATCATTTAGAATTACCCTGTATTTAAACTAGATAGCAATGCCTTTTTTGTCGTCTCGATTACATAAACACATTTTATTTAGTGAACTTTTGTTTTCATCCCGATGGATATTCAACGAGTAAAAGTAAAGTCCATATTTCAGTCTGGAAATAGAGGCATACAATATTTAATGCTCAGTGAAAGATGAGTGTGAAAAGCTTGATCCATCGAAACATGAATGGCCGATCCGTTGGATTGAAGCATTTGATGTCGATAACTTTTATAGCATGTAACGCTCCCTTTTTTCTTTTTTTCTTTTTATCGTGTGTAACTCTAAGTTACAAGAAGAATGTATTGAGTATGTATAGTTAACGTTATATATCGTATCGAACAATAACATTAAAGTTGGGAGTTTATTTAATTGGCATGTTTATTTATTATTTATTGTTATTGTTTGACGTGGCCTATTGTTTGTATGTAACTGAATGGCCAATAAAATCATTTGAATCATTTGAAAGTGTTTCAGGTGAATTGATTTGTACATTTCGTCCATCTGTTTCGTTAACTTTAAGTGTCATCAAAGGGTACTTAAAATATTAAAAATTCTTCTCCCTGTGTAACAATATAAATATATAGTAATGCAAGCTATATATTAAAACTTTAACTGTACTCCAATTTTATAAAAACCTGCTTTATAACAGTAAGATTTTAGTCCTTAAAAATTCCTATAAATAAAACTGCTATGTCGTTGGTAAGTTAAATAATAAAATATTATTTGTAATACCATCCGTCTCTGATATAATAAGTATAAATACCAATAATATGAAACACTGCGTAAGGATAATTAATTTACGTATTAATAAAGGTCTTAATGCTGAAACGTTTGCACAATATTGGTTGGTAGGTTAAGCTGATGATGGTTTTTTTCTAGATTTATGTGTATGGTCGGAGAAATCATCATTAAAATTTACGACATTCTATAGTTTTCCCTTGAGAGTCATTATTTTTCTTTATGGCACTTGGGAAAGCCATTTATAAAGACACAGTTGTTATATAAGGAAAATGGTATAAATCCATGCATGTATAAAATATACCATACATTTACGATTTTAGATGTCATAGGTATAATGTTTTATTTGTAAACATAGGAAAACAATTGAAACAATAGAGTGACTGCAAATACATATTTAAGTCAAGGATTAGGCTCCTTGTAAAAAACGGCGAAACGAAATTAAAAAAATGTTAGTTAGCTAATAATGTGTTGTTTTTTTTATCTCAGGGGCTCATAAAATGGATGAAATGTGCGAAATTTAATATTTACCAAATGCCTTATTTTTTAATTAAAGGAATCACATTAAAATTAAAATGTAAAAATGAGAAGACTTTTTGTTTTGTTGATGAATAAACGGATAAATAAACGATGAAATAAATTTATTTCCTATACTACAAAACACAGTATTCTCATTCTTTACCAGTGAGAGATTTAAGCTTCGAACTTTTTCAAGTAGTGTTACCTGTTACAGAGTAAATCGTATATAATAAATAAATTTACTTTTGAGCCTAGCAAAATTATAGTATTGCCAGAATGAGAAATTTCAAATTTATTTTTACGTCAAACATTTTTAATAATACATTACGGTAGAAACGGTGTGCAAGTAAATATTCTAACTATTAAAAGTTAGAACAAAGAAAATATGTCATGTGAAATATAAAAAAAACTTGAATGTTTTCTTAATTATTATAGAAAATAAAATGTATTTAGTTGTTTCTTTGATATTTCTTGATTAAAAATTTTAAGAAAGACAATATTTTCATATTTTGACAAAGGTAAGTTTACCACACATGATTCCAACTTTGATCAGGTGAAAGTGACAACGTTTCATAGCATAAATCTAAGATTACTCTGCGCGACTGTCAAGTAAAATTGGAGCTGACAAATCGGAAATTGACAACAAACTCGATTACTTTTGGTATCTCTTGTGTGGTGGGTTTGAATTTTATGTTTCATTCCATACTTGAGGTTCGAAGATTCATAACAGCTTTGTTAGTTATTTGTTGCACATATTAATATTTTTATTCTAATTTAAAATGCGAGCTGGTTGTACTTAACACTTTATTCTGGATTGCAGGAAGAAGTAGTTGCCTACTAATACAGTTGACTATTTAAATATTGTATTTTCCAAGTAATTGCATCACTGAATGTTTACCATACACTTTTAACAACACTTTGGATACAAACAATTTTATTAACAACAAGCAGCTATACCCGTGCCTTGCAACGGGTTCAGTATACAAAAGAGACATTATCTGTTCTTTGAAAATGGCTTAAAAAATTGTTTCATTACTACCATTTAATTTAGAAACGAAATTTAACTGTATTACTTAACTTGATAATAGTACGTTTTTTACTCAGACTGAAAACACTTAGTTATGCTACCTATATAAAAATAAATTATACATTTTAAGGTATAATCATGTTGAAAATAACATGTTGAATGGTTTGTACTATAAACGAAAAGCTATCACAATAGTTCCAAACCTTCCAATAAGTATATTGTAGTGTATTTTATAACTTATTTTGGAAATTATAATCAGGCAAATGGAAAATTTGCTTAGTCTGCAGGTTTGCTACGGCAGGGGGATTTTCTTACTATTTACACAAAAATGTATTTAAAAATAATTCTCATAAAACTCAGGATATCACTAATACGTTTAATGATTGCCAAAGGTCTTTCTCCATATGTAGATCTTTCTAGGGTTGAAACCTCGTTATAATAATCTACCCATAGTTGGAATCAGATGGACCTCTATGAAACCAGTTGCTTTTCTAAATGTTAGACTAAAAACGGTAAATGAAATAGTGGAAACTGAAATGGACAGTAAGATATGACAAGTTAAGTGATTGTGAGTGAGCTTATTAGTCACACAATAATCGTCGGTCTTTATTTAATGACTCCGGTGGAATTTTAAGGCTTCTTAGTAAGTCCAAATATTTGTCTTCTCCTTAAACATTTCTTTGATTTGAAGAAATTACAAGTTTATACATTATAATGCTTATAAGAACAACAACTACATGGAATTTTGAATACGTTTTGCATGATAAGTATTAAAACATTGCACAGAAATATTACGTAATACGAAGAAGAAATTAGGAAAGGAGGGTAATTCATCTGTCAACAGCTTATAGTCAAAACAATTTAATAAAAAGTTTCTTAATAAATGGACAAACTTGTACAGCCCTACTAATACTATCGGCCTACAGATTACAAATAATTTCACTACCTTATCAACTACTAATCCCTATTCCATAACCTAAATCCTACATTCCCCTTTAGACTTAATGCGAAAGGTTTCTAAAAGCATTCGTTATCGAACGATCTACTAATACACACACGAGCTGTAATATGCAATTATATTGAAGTGGAAGTGGGGGATGTGAAGTGTTGGGGGTACTTGTTATCGAGCACACTTCATTATTGAGGTGGTCACTTGTGGGGGCGGTGGGTGGGGGTGGGAGAGGGGTTAAGAAGGGGGGGCACTTGTTGAGTCAGGTGGTGCTGCGGCGCAACTGCTAGTAGTAGCCTGGCTATCGTAGTGTAATCTCTGGGACCTATTACGTCACTAGTTTATAATCTACACGACCAATTACATATACATGTACAACTATGTGAGGTAGTTTTGTAAAATTATGTTTTGACATTTCAACACTAACAGTGACGCAGTATGACCGTGTGTTTACAATTGGAGATTTATCTTATAGAGTTAGTGAAACAGGTTAGTAGTGTTTTGATGTTTAACAATAATATATATAGTAAGGTAAAAAAATGTTTGACTAAGAAATTATCTTAATTGAATTATAGCAATTAAGATTTGTTTTAGCACGGTATTGTGTAGCATTACTATTATCGAAATCAAGGAAACATTTCAAATATTTCATGAGTAAACAATATAGCATGACAACATACACAGTAAACATAGCATAACAAAACATAACATTTACGAAAATAACTTTTCCATATAAATCATGATGAGTTCATAATTCATGATTCAGTGCAGTGTGGCAGTTTTTCACACACATATTTCATATTCCATTTCTGAAAATGAATTGAAGGGAATATATTTTACTTTTTTTGGCCATAGCCGTTTATTTTCAAGTAATACGTTGATAGCATAATACAGTTTCTTTCATATCGTATTGTTGGATAACCCACTTTTTGACATACCGTATCGTTAGCACTCATAACAAATAATACGAGTTATTGACTTGGGTTGACACTGTATAAACTGTATTTTTAACGAACGACTAAAAACTGCATAAACATGTACAATTTTATTCCTTATTCTATATATTGTCGTAGGCTTATGCCAATAGTTACATGAAAAAGTGGCACTGAGTCAAAGTCTAACCTTTTTACTTCTTAAATCATGATAAAAATATGAAACTATAAAAACGTCTTAAACTATATTGTAATTTTTTTTTTACTTCAATACATATTTAGTGTAAAATAGTTATTTTTCCATTGAATAGGCTTTCAAGTTTTTTTTTCAAACATTAGGGGTTTTTCCAAACTATTGACATTCTGTCAGCTGTCGATATTCATTACCGTTACACATCATATTGTATTATAAATATCCATCTGTTTGTAACGTCATTACTCGTAAAAGTATTAATTTAAGATTCTTGCATTTCTTTTATCACTTAAATACTATTTTCAAAACGGATTTTAAATGAAAATTATTACAGTTTAGTTACGGTAGCAAAACTTTATTACGATATTTTAAGAATCGAATCCTGTACAGCGTTTTGGTAATTTCAATGACCAATTTAAACAGAGACCCTGGTGGGAATTTTAATATTTTCTATTATGCATCCATCTTTTGGTAAACATATACACCGCAACATTAGTGGTTAGGCATGGATCCTACTCTTGTAATGATCACTTAGCCCGCTATAACTGCTTTTAGCTTTTAGGATTAACGCATTATCATTATTATTTGTATATAAGGGTTACTTTATGGATTGAGAATTAGACTGTCAATAATAATCATCTGTATTTAGACTACAAATAAATATTCAATTGATTCTTTTTAGTATGGATACAATGTTTTACAAAAAGAAAAATACTCTTAACTTAAACTAAAATAGTTTTTGAAACCAATAAGAAAATGAATATCAATTACAATTTGTAAATCAACGCTTTGATTTGGATACATCTAATATAGTAAGTTTAAATAAACGTATTGTACGTATAAAAATCAACGAATGTACAAAAACAAAACGAAGTATTGCTTCAGTAAATCTAAGTATTTCAATTCATTTATCTGTTATAAGAACTCAACAATCCAATTAAATACCCTATACCCATTAACTCTTTTCTTAACCCACTGACGATATACCATAGATAGACAGGTAGATAATAGAGGATTTTTTTATGTATATTTGTATACATTATAAATATATGTAAACGTTATACATGTATACGTTATTTTTCTCAGCCTAAGGAACAAAATCGCAAACTCTTCTTAGGGGGTTTGTATAAACTTGGCATACACTTTATTCTTTTGATCTTAATATCCTTCAACTTGAAACCAATACAGTCTGCAAATAAAGTATTGAAACAAATCTGTAATTTTAAAACCGAAATAGATAGAAACATTCTGTTTGTGGCATTGATTGTTAAAAAGGTTCCACAATTTTTTACATCAAAAATATTCTTTAACCCCCTTCACCTGGCAGGGGTAGAAGGTGACTTAAAAAACCACCTTTCATTTTGAAGGGTTTGTTAAGACATAAGCAACGGTGAAAACTTGTCGATATGTCACCCCTAACCAAAATGACAAGTATTAAAAAATTTGAATTCGTGAAATGGTTGCTTTTTTATCAAAACAAATTTTTAAATACCTGCCATTTTGGCTAGGGGTAACATATCGGCTATTCAGGTTTGCACCATTGCTTATGTCTTGACAAAACCTCCAAAATGAGGAGTCACTTGAGTGACCTCTACCCCCACGCTGTTAGTGGGTAAAAAAAATATTTTTTGTGTAAAAATATTACGGACTCTTTGTTAAAAATCAATGCGAAAAACAGAATATTTCTATCTATTTCGGTTTAAAAAATACAGATTTGTTTCAATACTTAATTTACACACTTTATAGTAAGTTTATACAACTTTCCTATATCTTGTTTAATTATTAAGTTATGTGTCCTGAGCTTAGACTCAACTTTCAAATCCTTCTTTTACACAATGGTTTCTTATCCTACTCACATATTTAAATCCTATATAGGATTCTGTATCTCGATCCAATTCAGCATTTTTCATCCCTAATTCAATTAGCATACCATATATCTGAGCTCCTTTTCCTAAATATAAATTTAAATTCAATAATTTATTTAAATTAACTACTTCCTGATTATGTATAAGTTTCATACATAGTTTAATCTTATATCCTGATATAGTTTTTAGGTGTAGTATCCCCAATGATTATATTCTATGTGCCTGGTTTCTCTAAGATAACTTACTTAAACCATTTCAGAAAAACTTAAACCACGTTATTTAAGAGCCAGTCATTAAGATTAAAATATTTTCCTGATTTTCTTGTCATTCCAAGCTTACTGTATTCTCATGTTCGCAACACTTAATTTACTTGTGTTTACTTTATGCATAAGAATGCACATTATTTATCATTTCCCCATCCAGATATGTCAACTGATATATCTAAATAATTGCAGTTGCAAGTCTTAAATATTTAAAATCACAATCCTAAATCATGATCTTACATTCACGTTATTTTGTACGAGTATTACCTATTACTTCATTCTAACTGTATAGTTTAATCATGTCAATTCATCCTAAACAATAATTAATCCTGGTCCTAAATAAAAACGTATAAAATACGCAAAAGATTAAATACGCTATGACATTTCAACTACGGCAAGATTTAACTGTGAACTTAATACAAAAAGTTAATATTTAGGAGAAATTTCATTAAATTTGAGGCGGGATTAAACAACAACATGCTGAAACCTGTTTGTTATCATAACTGATAAGCCTTGAATCTCATTAGGGATTCAATATTGCTTTGTTACTTCGTGGTTAACCTTAATAACGGTTGTAACAACACTAAGCCATCTTATAACCACGGTAAACCCGCAAACGAGCAAGACATTTGGTTTTATAAACCGTAACCTAGATAGCAAGTTTCTGTTGGTGTAAAGTCGCTCGGTTGTGGCAAAATGCCAATCGATAACTATCAATAATTTACTTTCGAACTCTGTCTTGACATTTGTTCTACTTGGTTGCCATCGTTTCCGCAAATAGAAGGATATAAATTCTCTTTGTTATATTTACTGAAATATTAATAGGGATTTAGTAGTTACCTAGTTTTGTGTTAATTAAAATTTATTAATCCTCGTAGAATTTTGATGTGTATAAAGCCACAGTGAAATTGAAACCTACGTTTTGAAGGTGAAGATGGTAGGGTGAGGGGTTTGAAATACCTTCCATTTTGGCTAGGGGTGACATATTGGCTATTCGGGTTTGCACCATTGCTTATGTCTTGACAAAACCTCCAAAATGAGGGGTCACTCGATAGGGATTGCTGTTTTTAAAAAAATGAGTGACCCCTACCCCCTACCCTGTTAGTGGGTTAAAAAAGTATTTTTGGTGTTAAAATATTGTGGATTCTTTGTTAAAAATCAATGCCACAATCAGAATATTAAACAGAATATACGTTTTGGCGGTGTAGATGGTAGGGTGAGGGGTTTGAAAAACATCACCACTTGGTATTTTTCAATAAGACCTAACACACAGTAGCCTACATAATCTTAATATCACCATTGATTATAATTTTTATTAATTCTTGAGTTATCAATGGTTATTTAAGTAATTCAATAACTCGCACTTTTAAATAATAAAACAACTAACTCATTACCTAATAACATACAATATTCAATTGTTTATTTATATTTATATTAATGTATATTATTAAATGTGACTTACACTAACCTAAAGGGGATATATTTACCTATTTAAATTCAAAAACTCATAAGCATATTACTTATACCTTTTACGCAACAATGTCAAGTACAGGGTCAAAACATTTAAACTGCTCTCCTGAAAAGATCGAAAAATCAAGATACGTCAGTATGCATCTTCCGTGACGATTTATATGCATTCTAATACAAAAATATTAGTACCTTTCCACAATAACAAAAACTTCCTTTATTATTTAAAATCCGTTGATGTAACTCGAACAACATTTTACAAATCCGCTCAGTTCTGAAAGATGAGTTTTAATACACTGGTTAAATAATTCAAACGAGTTATTAAGATGTAAAAATAAACAATGGTACGTTATGTAATAATGTAATAAACTCTCGTGCAACTATTGCTCTGATGGGGCAGTGGCGTGTAATATAATTGACATTTAGCAGGCGAAAATAAAGCTGCAAATGATAATGGTTTCGTGGAAAACAATTTAGCCAAAGAATCATGCATGAATTTATATACGGTTTAAACTTTTTAACAAATGGAAAGACAAAACATATTTAAGGTTAATGCTTTAACAATTCATCGTAATGTTTTAATTTCTTATAACCATGCAGTATTACAAAAATAAAAAACTACATTTTAGGAGTACAGTACCATAGTTTCCTGCCAATTTACTTTGTTTTCATGCCAATTAACTTGCTATCTATTATACAGAGTGGTCATACTTATCAGGCACATTGTAAGGGTACATAAACAAATAACCAAGTAACATAAAAACATGGGAATTATTTAATTGAAAAGCAAATTTTAAACAGTTTTATAACTGCAACAAATACTTATACAAATGTCAGTAACTATAAAAAGTAGTTATAAAAAGTGTGTAAACATCACTAAATGTGAGTGTATGTTAGATTTTTTCTCAATGACTTGTGTTATGGCATAGTCAGACTGTCAAAAATGGACTTTTGTACACCAGCTGGGCATGATATTTGGCGTATTAAACCTGTAACTGACTTAAGTAACAAAATTACTAATGTGCAATAAAAACCAAAGCCTTTGGTTTCATGAGAGCAAATCTGTAACTCTTGGAAGAAGGCTACGTTTAGATTATGGCTGTAAATCTCCGTGTAACAATTCTATTAAATGGTGGTAGAGGCAGTTCGAACAACGAGAATTGTACAAAATATAGTCTTAACATATTAGAAGGGTCCTCTCCTCACCTCAGGAGAAACATAAATTAAAATATCAGTTTAGCTGATTTTTTCAGTCTTTCTATAACTACTTTTCCTATTATTGAATTTTTTGCAGTCACTTTAATTTTTTAATTTTCTATTTAATGAAAGAATTTCCATGTTTCTATGTAGCTTTGTTATTTAGTTATTTAATCTTAAAATGTGTAGGGGGGGGGGGGTTATGACCACCCTTTATTATTAACACGGTAATGTCAAATTTGTTGTTATCGTTTTAAATACTTAAATAAATATATATAGGCTTATGTTAGATCAAAACGATGATTAGAGCTTTAAACGATTTGTGAGAACGAATATTCAAAGGACTTTGCCCCACATTCTGATTTCCTAAGGGCACAACTTTAAATAAAATATTAGGTTTAGTTTAAGTTTATTTTTAGAGTGTCTACTACGTAAATGATATTTATTTTACCTAATATTAATAGTCTACCTGATTAGAACTGTTTGTAGGGGAGGCTGTTAAAGGTTCAACTACAAAACCAGTTATCTCAATCGCTTCATCATAAATTGGTTATGATTGAGGCTTGGCCAAGTGCAGTATCAGGCAGCACTCAGGGTAGCTTACGCATAGCATACACTGTTGGAACTGTCCTTTTTGGTATCACTGATGTAATATATGTAATAGTATATTACATAACTAGTCCCGAAAATAGGTGTTTACCGGACGAGTGTGGTCGTTCCCGTGCGAGACGAACTCGGGTACGGGATCACCATACGAGTCCGGTAAACCCATTTTGGAAGAGTGACGTATGATATTTTACGCCATACTACTAAATCTGTACAAATCCTCATATAATACTACCTACTAAATAACTAACAATCCCACTAGTCATGCCCTCTAAGAGAGGTTATGTTTTTATTTATATCAGCTGTTTAGTGTCCGGTAAAAACTCATTACAGTACAGTAGTACGAAATGAACCACCCTATGATTAAGCTGGCGGTAAACAGCTATTTCTGGAGTAAATCCTTGCGTGGGAAGTTCGTCAAAATAGTGTAGGTAGTGTGGCGTAATATTATATTACGTTACTAGTCCTGAAAATAAGTGTTTACCGGACGAGTGTGGTCGTTACGGGATTACCATACGAGTCCGGTACACACATTTTGGACGAGTTACGTACGATAGTTTACGCCATACTACTAAATCCGTACAAATCCTTATATATTTCCACCAATTAAAGGACTAAAAATCACTAGTCATAACCTCTAAGAGAGGTTATGTTTTTGTTTATAACCACTCACTGCCACCTAAATACAGTGTAATCAGCTGATTGGTGTCCAGTAAAACTAATTGCAATACAGTAGTACGCAATGAAACCCCATTTGAATAAGCTGGCGGCAAACAGCTGTTTTCTGGACTAAATCCTTGCGTGGGAAGTTCGTCAAAATAGTGTAGTGTGGTGTAATAGTATATTACGTTATTAGTCCTGAAAATAAGTGTTTACCGGACGAGTGTGGTCGTTCCTGTGCGAGACGAAGTCGAGTACGGGATTACCATACGAGTCCGGTAAACACATTTTGGACGAGTGACGTACGATATTTTACGCCATACTACTAAATCCGTACAAATCCTTATATATTTCCACCAATTAAAGGACTAAAAATCACTAGTCATAACCTCTAAGAGATGTTATGTTTTTATTTATATCAGCTGTTTGGTGTCTGGTATAAACTCATTACAGTACAGTAGTATGAAATAAACCCCCATTTGGTTAAGCTGGCGGCAAACAGCTGTTTTCTGGACTAAATCCTTGAGTGGGAAGTTCGTCAAAATAATGTAGTGTGGCGTAAAGTTATTGGCATCTTAGAGGAAGACAAAATACTACAGACAAGGTTTTATCGGTATAGACTCTGCCCACGCAGAGAGATTTCAAAAATTCCAGATATGATGGGAGTTAGAATTAGGATAAGAAAACACCGTGGTTGAAATGGTGGCATTTTGAGTTGGGCTACTAACTCACGCAGTTATTGTCAAATCACGACTATTTTTAATTCGTACCTGATGAAAGGGTTCAGTTATTAGGTTTGTAGTGAGTAGTTATTGGACAATAAAGCCGCAGGAACATTACACGACAGAACGGCGTAAACACACCTGAGTGCGTAAACATGTTTCTGTCAAAAATCTATTTTACTATTCTCAACCTAAAAAAAACCTTTTCAAAGCTACTGACCTACCATAGTTTCATTGTTAAAGTTGCGTAAAACTGTTGGTCAGTCTCGTGAGTTACATTGGGCGGGTATCGATCGTACATTCCTGAGTCTATAGGGTAATAAACTTGGGTTGTTACACACGATATTCCTTTCCTGACCTCCTTAGACTACGTTTTGTATAATACTAACTTAATCAATTCAGTGAGTAATATCTATTATGTTGAATAACTTAGTGTTATTTATTTCAAAATGCTGTTTGCGTAAAATTCACTATACCCTTAAAACATTAAAACTTTTACGATTAAACTTTTTAATATTTTTGTTTACATAATATTACTAGGCTATATGGAATTTTTATTTTCCGTTTGATTTCAGATCGTCATGGAGATCTAGGACAACATGGGAGCACATCAGTCCAGGCTGGACAAAACATTAAGTAACGAAGAAGGTATATGTCAATTAATTTAATTAAATAAAAAAATAAACTAATTACAAGCAAAACTCACTATTCTCTTACAAAACGAAAACACGTAAAGTTGAAGTTTAGTCGTGTCTCCAAACACAAGATCATTTTATGTATCTTGTCAAACTTGTCAGTTTTACTAGCATGATCAGTTTGAAACAAGTAGTTTTGGTAAAAATTGTTATTATATGTGATATAATAACAAACCTATTATAATGTATAATTAGTACTTTAAGATATTGTGCATCTTTGAGTTTGTTAGATGATTAATAAATGAGTATAGGTAATGTACAGTATAGGTTTACATACAAACCCTTTTGCATGTTGATAGTTAAATTGTGATTCATGAAAAATGTACTACTCTGTAGAAAAAAGACGTATAAATACACAAAACGCGATATAACTTGATTTAATCTAATATAACAAAAATTATTTTATGTTATTTTTCAACAAACCTATAAAACTCTTACGATCGGATTTTGATAGAATTAACTTTTCTAAATAACCTAGAAACAAAATGTACGATAAGTTAATGTCCAATAATAAATTGTAACTCCATTTGTGATTACTTTTTGGTGTCAACTTATTCGAGATAGCTTTATTATTACATGGCAGTGTCTCAAAACCTATAACGATATAATACAGGTTGTTTCATTACTAAAACACAACCCACATATTACGACCAAGGTCGTTTTATGTCACGACTTCAAAAGTCATCTCCCTTTTACATGTCTTAGCTAAGAAACACATGACAAGTAGTCTTAATCAAAAGACCGCTCCTTTCAAACCTGACAAATGAAACCTATTCAGCTCTCGTATTTTCTTGCTCGTTAAGGACAGAGGAAAAGGGTTGGAAAGATATAAGAGTTGGCAAAGGTAGAAGAGGCAGACCATAGCAGGGATTGATTACTGTACCTTTGAGGTTATTCTAAAGATGCGACGCGATTTTCTGCACTGGAAAAACAATTATTAAAAGTGCAGCAGTCGCAACCGTTTGCCGGGGATAGCTCAGCCTACAATGGCTGGGTAAAGTTCCAGGGTCTGCGATAAGGTCAGGGAAACCACTAGGCCAAAAGCCGGGTCTAACCGGTATAGGACTGGCTCATACACGGGCACTGTGAACAAGTCAAAAACAAGTCACCAAAACAAACGTGCAATAATCACTACCAGGCCTACGCCGATTCTCCACACTCCTAGGGGGTCGTTGCTGACTACGCAACTCGGGCTTCGTCCTAACTATCCAATAGTTAAGCCCAGAGTGCCTAAAACACGGTGAGTTACACGACGACTTGCCAATAAAAACCACAACGCGTGTTATCACCAGGCGGGGTCTACTAGGCCACTATAATCCAATACACAACTCTAATGCCCAAGCTAAGAATCAAACAGTTCACTCAATAAAAATACCAGATAACAATACAAGTGCACTATAGGTAGAGTGACTACAACACCAGTAGCTGGTCTCAATAAATACCAAGCCAAACAAGCAAAACTAAATGGCAATGGCACTATTAAAATATCGAGCTACTTAGTAGCAGATAAATAAATATTAAATACTCCAAACACTATAGATAAATATATTATCTGATAGCCGGTACTCCGCTATCCAAGCTACCAAGATAACGTGTTGGACTACCAAACAAGCTGTTCAGGTTAAATTAAAATAATCAAATGAATAAACAATAACAACCCTACTACTGCTACTGCTACTACCAACTTTATGTTACTTAGCTGGGCTTCTGTTAATCGGCTAATAATATTAGCTACTAGCCTACTGGCCACGTGTTTCCAACTACGCACGCTAAATCGTGCAGCTTAGGTTTGTCGGGCCTCAGAGTTATATTAATAATATAACTAACTCTAGGTACAACGCAAAATAATATCTACTACAGTCAATTAAATTATATTATTTGCGCTCTAGCACCTGCCCAGAACCGTCAGGAATACACTTTAATATTATTCCTGACTAATATTAATCCTAACTACTGACAGGCTTTGACCAGCACGGTTACAACTCTAACTCTCTAACTCTCTTAAACCAAAATATAATAAAACGTCGTCCACTCACCACAAGTGGGTTACTGACTCACTACCCAACTTGAATGCCGACACTCACTCCTTGAGCACCAATATCACACGACACCGTACACTTCTCTGTACCACCCACGTACGCCGTCCGTCTCCACTGGACACCAACACTGCCTTCTTCACTGTACGGGATCCACCACTAGAATGTCCTTCTCGGCTATCCAGTAGTCCCAGGATACCCAAGCTTATCCGAACTGATAAGCCGGGTCAAAGGGCGCTAGCCAGGTTCGCCGCCGCCGCTCGTTCACCTCAACAATCGGTGCGCAGCAAATAGCGAAAATATACCCCCCTAGGAAAAAGGCTAGTTACATCCCCCACTTACATCGGGATGAAAAAAAGAAAACGGCCAAAAAGAAAAAAAAAATCTTTGAACTCCGGCCAAAACAAAATACTCCAACCCCTAACCCAATGGTGAACCCTACACCACAGGTCTCGAACTTTAAAACAAAGAAAAACTCTTCTACTAGCCACTACCAGCCAACATGGTACTGATAGATTTGGCATCAGGAACCAGACGGGGATTTCCATTGCAAGGGCCTTCGGGGTCTTCGTCACCAATTTTGACACTGTCTAAGCGGCCACCTTGGCCAGAACAGTCATCACCCACGCCCATTCTTACTACCTCTGTCTCACATGTCACCAATCCGAGGTCGTTCGTTTTCGGTGGCCTTGCCCAGTTGACCTCCTGATGTCTGAGCTGGCCTGCCGTTTCCCGCCCGACATCCACACTGATTCACCGTCAAACCAGGTTTGCCACATCCATAACATGAGATGGTCCTCGGCTTACCACAGCCTTTGGCAAGGTGACCGATCTCCTGGCACCTAAAGCACCGCACACCATCAGCATCTTCCCTTGTCATTGCGGGCCTTCGTACACGAGCCTCGATCGAGTATGAACCAACCCGCTGCCCAACTGACTTGGCTTCAGGAGACGGTCTTTCAAAACTACCTCTTTCGAACGTGACAGTCTCAAGATTCTTTTCAGCTTTCTTCCTGGGAACGTAGGCGGTTTCCAAAACCAGCGCTACATTTGGTGAAGGAGGAGGTCGGAAGGCCGCCTTCTCTCGCAGATAGGCCTCATAGTCTTCAGCCAACTCCACCATCTCGGCCAGGTTGCTGAAATCACGCCGGCGTACCATCAGCTTGTACTCGGGACGCATATTGTTGTAGATCAAGTCCAATCTACCATGCTCCGACAACGTACCGCTACGCCTAAGCAAGGTACTTATGGCAACGACGTAGTCTCTAAAGTGTTCGCCTTCACCCTGTGTCCTTTTCCGGATCTCCTCATCCAAGTTCCTCCAATATCCCGGTGGGAAGAACTGGATTTCAAACTGATGCCGGAAAGCTTCGAATGAATACAGGAGCTCCTTACAATTCCTGTACCATAGAAGCGCTGAGCCTTGCAGCAGCTCCGGCAGCGCTCTGAGCAGGTCCTCTGATGATATAGAGTAGGACCCCCTCAGCTCTTCAAGACGCTCCAGGAATGATACAGGGTCTCTACGGCCATCAAACTTTAAACCCCACTTCCGGACCATGTCACACATCTTGGAGCAATTCTTCGGCTGCACCCTGCTGGCCTCATTCGAGAGCATATCCGAGCCTCGTGGCAGCTTCAAGCTAGAAGGCCGGACTGGTCTCTCAGAACTATCATTGGGCCGCTGCCATCCCTCGGGTCTACTAGGTAACCCAAAGGTAGGCATTGGAGCAGCCACCACAGGGGACGTAGGGTTGGCGGGTCTTTCGAACCCATAGCCGACCCCATTACTCGGCGAGCCTCTCGCCTGTCGCACCACCGATGCCAGATGTTCTCTAAGAGTCCGGGTATCAGTCTCCAAAGACAACCCAAGGATCTCTTTAACCACCTCTAACTCCCTGCTAAGTCCCACTATCTCTGCTTGATTCGATTCCGCATTACCCAGTACCTGAGGTACGGTTCTCAGGGGGTCAGGAAGCTCCACAGTTGTAGTAGCGGGCGGTAAATATGTCGGTGCAGCAGCCCCAGCTGTACACAGCCTATCATCGCTGTACCGACGGGCATTCCGCTGCTTCCAAAACGACGAGAATCGCTGCCGTAATTCCGCAGAAGTACCAGTGGTCACCAAACCATACTGGTCCATCGTCCTCATGAGCTCCCCTTTCGAGAGGTCATAGATCCATCCCACGCGAACGTCCCGGGGCTGCGACCCCAAGGACAAAGTCGCTGGCGCGGAATAGGTCAACGAAGTTGTCACCGTCGTACATCGACATATAAAATTAACTGGATCGGCTGCTAGGCTCCGCGACCCGAGCCAACGACCGGGGTTGCGTTTTAGATTTTGCAGGCGTAATGTGGGATTAAGCGACTCGCTGCGCCACATCTTAGCATTGTCGCGGCCAGGACGATGTACTTTATCCATGCCCTTTACTCTCTACTAAAACGTTGTAAGGCATTTTAATAATCAATTTTCATGAACTTTTGTACAAGTAATAAAAATGTAAAAATAACGCTGTGAGAAGCCGAGTTCGGGTACTACAATTAATAAATATTAACTGACGGCGGATATTTCACACTGAGGTTTCTGATCAAATATAATTTTAATTCCGATTTTATTTTTTTTTATGATGGAATAAAAGTAATAAAATAGTACAATTAAGAAACCTTTATGACTTGGTTCTTTCTTCACTTACTACTCTAACGAAAACAATTATGTTTCAATGTTACAATACAAAATAGTCTATGTAACAAATGGGTTTTATTAGTTTCTCGTAAAATACAAAATATTCTGGGGTAAGGTATTAGTAAGAACAAGGTTAGATTGTATAAGAAACATTTTATTTAGGAAACTTTGTAAAACAAAGAAACATATTTAGCCTAAACATTGCTAAAAAGAATAAGCTTATTTAACTTCTGCCGCATACCAAGCTTTGATAGAGAAGCTTCTGCTGTTTTACGCTTAGAAATGCTGTGGCATATAATTTTGTTAAACATAATACCAATTAGTTTGATTAATTTCATGTCATGGCTTTCCTCGCCAAATTCATTATTACCTTTATGATTATGAAAAACGTTACCAGCAAAGGTTCTACATGCTAATAAAATAGTTTTTGAAGCATCAAATTTTTGCCAATCTTTGGAATATGCAACAATTTGATTGTACATGAACTTAACAATTTTCAGTACATCTGGTGAAGCCCTGATTAATTTTCCTTTTGATAGAAAATCAGTAAAATTAGTGCAAGGGCTTGGATTTGAATCGCCAGTTACCAAAAGATTACTGCATTCTTCACATTTCAGTTTAGGATCCAACTTTCGAATAACATAACCACAAATAAAATATAGTACATTGTCTTTATAGTAAGACGACTCTTCTATGCCTTCTAACATGTATGACATACATTCTATATCATCAGCATCATCGGCTTCATCACTATGTCCAACTACTTGGGATAATTCGTTGAAGCTCATTACAGAACTTTGTTGATTGAAGTCAAATGATAAGCAATTGCCTTTATCAGATGGCTGGACACTATTGCGAAACATAAGTTTTCTCAAAGCCCACTGGAACTGTTTCACATTTGGATTATTGTTATTTCCTCCTCGAGATCTTATACAGGAAAATAACAATTCCAGGTGGTCTTGAGAAAACTTGTACGTTAATATGTAATTAAATGCATGCTCCTCTAATACACTTTTCATCAAAATATTTATCGTGTGGATGTTGGTGATGAAGCCGAGAGCAAACGTTTTTCTGGCATGATGGAGAATAGAAACTTTTTCAATTTTCAAACAGGTTAAATAGTTCAAACATTTCTGTAGCATATCATTCATATACTCTAAATTGTCCTTCCGTATCGGTGCTTTGAAATTTTTCCCAAATGGATTTCTGCTGTTCAAAAAATCAAACAATTGATCAATAATCCTCAAAAACTCAATTGTTGCCTCACAACCTACGAAATCAGGATGGCCATTCTTTAGTAAAAACTCTAGCGCGTCGGCAACGCTTGAACTTAAAGTCTGTGCAGCAAGTTTGACATTCATTTTCCTATTTCTGAAAAATATGTGTTTGTCGGACAGTTTATTGGCTAAACTAAGACCCTCCTCATTTTGTAGGGAATTGAGTTTTTGAAGAAATCTAAAATCTACAATTCCGAGGTTATTGTAACACGCACGTGCGCCCAAGGTCAGGTGTCGACAACACGGTTTCGCGCGCTATATCCCACATGCTGCCTTCAATTTGCCCATGCGGCAACCCCGATACACACCTGTATTGGCTCGGAAAGCTCTACACGAGCCTTACGGCCTGCGCGCAATCCAGTTAGTTTTATATGTCGATGCCGTCGTAGCCACTACCGAAGAAATTGTCGGCCAAACGGGCGAAGACGCCGGCCACAATGACGATGTCGTCATCACCGACAGTTCGGAGCTAACCCCAGAACTCGTCGTAGCAATAGCAGACGTAATAGGCGTACCGCCCAGCACAGACGTCGTACTCGTAGTCACAACCATATTTAAAATTCAAAACACCACGACAAATCCGCAAAAATAAGGGCGTAACCAATTAAAATATATTTAACACCGTTATAATAAATCAAACCGATTATAGGTGTGAAAGTCAAACCACAAATACACAATAAGGGTTCTCACTCAAATAATATTCGATGATAAAGCTCAATTAATTAGCAAAATAATAAATCAAACCAATTATGGGTGTGAAAGTCAAACCACAAATACACAATAAGGGTTCTCACTCAAATAATATTCGATGATAAAGCTCAATTAATTAGCAAAATAATAAATCAAACCAATTATGGGTGTGAAAGTCAAACCACAAATACACAATAAGGGTTCTCACTCGAATAATATCCAATGATAAGGCTCAATTAATTAGCAAAATTAAAATTACTAACTAATATCTATGTATACAACCACTAAATAAATTAGGGTTCACAACACACCACGCTGTAAAAGAAAACAGGTTAGGCCTACCCAACCGACTATAAAATCACAGCAGGTCTGCCTAAAACTCTGCTCAACAGCTCAGGTCCGCAGCCAATCTGCACAAGTCCGCAGCAAATCTGCACAAATAAAATTATTTTGTTCGGGCGCCGTTAATACGTCAGCAACTCAGCACCACTGCCAACCTCAGTCCCTGTTCGCAGGCGCCATCTTGCGACGAAATTTTCTGCACTGGGAAAATAATATTAAAAGTGCAGTCGTCACCGTTTGCCGGGATAGCTCAGCCTACAATGGCCGGGTAAAGTTCCAGGGTCTGCGATAAGGTCAGGGAAACCACTAGGCCAAAAGCCGGGTCTAACCGGTATAGGACTGGCTCATACACGGGCACTGTGAACAAGTCAAAAACAAGTCACCAAAACAAACGTGCAATAATCACTACCAGGCCTACGCCGATTCTCCACACTCCTAGGGGGTCGTTGCTGACTACGCAACTCGGGCTTCGTCCTAACTATCCAATAGTTAAGCCCAGAGTGCCTAAAACACGGTGAGTTACACGACGACTTGCCAATAAAAACCACAACGCGTGTTATCACCAGGCGGGGTCTACTAGGCCACTATAATCCAATACACAACTCTAATGCCCAAGCTAAGAATCAAACAGTTCACTCAATAAAAATACCAGATAACAATACAAGTGCACTATAGGTAGAGTGACTACAACACCAGTAGCTGGTCTCAATAAATACCAAGCCAAACAAGCAAAACTAAATGGCAATGGCACTATTAAAATATTGAGCTACTTAGTAGCAGATAAATAAATATTAAATACTCCAAACACTATAGATAAATATATTATCTGATAGCCGGTACTCCGCTATCCAAGCTACCAAGATAACGTGTTGGACTACCAAACAAGCTGTTCAGGTTAAATTAAAATAATCAAATGAATAAACAATAACAACCCTACTACTGCTACTGCTACTACCAACTTTATGTTACTTAGCTGGGCTTCTGTTAATCGGCTAATAATATTAGCTACTAGCCTACTGGCCACGTGTTTCCAACTACGCACGCTAAATCGTGCAGCTTAGGTTTGTTGGGCCTCAGAGTTATATTAATAATATAACTAACTCTAGGTACAACGCAAAATAATATCTACTACAGTCAATTAAATTATATTATTTGCGCTCTAGCACCTGCCCAGAACCGTCAGGAATACACTTTAATATTATTCCTTACTAATATAAATCCTAACTACTGACAGGCTTTGACCAGCACGGTTACAACTCAAACTCTCTAACTTTCTTAAACCAAAATATAATAAAACGTCGTCCACTCACCACAAGTGGGTTACTGACTCACTACCCAACTTGAATGCCGACACTCACTCCTTGAGCACCAATATCACACGACACCGTACACTTCTCTGTACCACCCACGTACGCCGTCCGTCTCCACTGGACACCAACACTGCCTTCTTCACTGTACGGGATCCACCACTAGAATGTCCTTCTCGGCTATCCAGTAGTCCCAGGATACCCAAGCTTATCCGAACTGATAAGCCGGGTCAAAGGGCGCTAGCCAGGTTCGCCGCCGCCGCTCGTTCACCTCAACAATCGGTGCGCAGCAAATAGCGAAAATATACCCCCCTAGGAAAAAGGCTCGTTACAAAGATTATCTCTAGACTGCACTTCTCCATTCAGTCCACACTTGATTAGTAATTTTTCAATTGATATGCGGTAAATTAATTAAATTTTCTAAGAAAAACAAACATTATTGCAACAAATGCTATAATCAATGATCTGAAGGCTAAAACACGTAATTATTGAATTAATTTAGTCAAATGCATCCTTATCTATTTAAATAGTAAAATCGTAATTGTTTTATGTAAATTTGAAAATTCCTGAAAGTTTTAATGAGATGAATTGGTAATTTGAATAATTGATTTCAATTCGGAATGAACTAATATGATCTGTTGAGCTTTCACTGCCTTAATAATGACATAAAACTCGATGTAATGAAGCGTGATGCTATTTTTATGTTCTCTTTTCAGTTCGTTAAAATATTTGCAATATGGTCCTAGTCTAAGGTTAAAATATACATTATGTGTTATAAATTATTAAATTTTTTCAGTAAACTTTGACCACTTTCAAATACTTCGTGCTATTGGAAAAGGCAGTTTTGGCAAGGTAAGGCTTTAAAATATTTATGTTACTTACATAAAATTTTTGTAGCTAATAACTTATAGCAGGGATTTATTTTAACATTTAAATTCCTTAGACAATATAGGTTGTACACTTCTACAACACCGCCTTTACAACAAATAGTTATAGGAATGTTTACCTAACAACTAAACACGTTAAATAAATTAAGTTTGTTGAAGGAATTTTTTGTAAACTCATTGAGAACCCAATGGAGTTCCAAGAAGAGACCTGTACTGTATACGTTACTGTATTGACTAATATTTATTATGAACAAACTTTAGATTCACAAAACCTTATAAATATAATTTTCAATACTATTGTTTTGGATAGAATGTTTTAATATTGTAGGAAAAAGTGTTGGGGTTTACTTTTGGCGTAATAATATAGGGACATCCACATTAAAACATCCTCCACGTTATGACTAATTCTACAAAACCACAAATTCACTTCCTTCTCATATAAACCCAGCGTAAAATTTTATTCATACGCCAAAGGATAATAATTTGTAAAGTAAACTAGAATATTACAAAGGGTACATTGTATTTTTTTAAATCTCTATTAGAGTCCATCAAACCACTTTTCTTTGTCCTCTGTATGTTCATGTCTATGATATCCTATTATGGCTTCCTTTATTTAACCATGAGAACACTATACCCCTTTTATTTTGTAAGTTAACTATCTATTGGGAAGGTTCAGGCATGAACTTGTTTAAGGTTCAACTATTGTATGTGTTTGTATATTTTTGGAAATAAAAAATGTTGTATTTATCTAAGTAAATTTTTAAGGGATGAAAATAGTACATGATACTACTCAAACACCTTATGAGGACCTAATGACTGTTTTAAAGACATACATTGTGAATTGTAGATCAATCATTAATTTAAAAAAAAATTATTTTGGTTCATTAGAATCGTTGTGTGATTATTGTTCTTTACATCAAGGGCAGTTACCGCAATACACTTTAGCATTTTTGGAAGCTTTAATGCCTGAAGTAGGGTTAAGGGACTAACTAAAAAAAATATTTTTGCATCACAGTTATAGATGTTGTCCAGTTTTGTCCATCATTGTTAGAGTGTGTACAAGACTTTTTATGCTTTATGTGTGGCATTTTAGTAAAGCATTTCGGCAAATATCTCACAAGCATTATTCTAAACCGAATACTGTTCTAGTGTACTATTTTTACGTCCCTAGGTTTGCATAGTTCAAAAGAAGGACACCAAACAGATGTACGCGATGAAGTACATGCACAAGAACCAGTGCTTGGAGAGGGACGCCCTTAAAAATGTCTTGAGGGAAGTTGATATTCTTACCCAGCTAGAACATCCCTTTCTCGTCAACCTGTGGTTCTCTTTTCAGGGTGAGTTGTTATTGTATTAAGAAAATAATATATTTAGAATATATGTAGTGTTACTTATTTGATCTTGATTTCTTTTGTTTGCCAGATAAAAATTACCTATCCTAAATCTAATAGTATAGTAATAAATTAAAATCATAACAAATAAAAAAAGTTTTTGAGATTAGTGAAAAATCGAATTTACTAGCATCTCAGATTAACATAGATAAAAGTGGAATATATGTATGGGTATCGTATAAATACATTTCTGAACTTAAATTTGTTTTCCCAAAATTATTGAACGACTTTCGAGTTATTAGCACATTAAACAACGCTCGATAGTACTAATTCAAGAGTTGTTTGAGGTGTTTGTGTAGCTAATGACACTATAATGGATGTTTTACCCTCACCCCCCTACAATCTCTTAAATCGACCTTACTTCTCAGTCTTTTCTTCGGTTAACATCCTCTTCCCCCATTAACCAACGCTATTTCCTTCACTACCCTCTTACCAATCATTCCCTCAAAAGCCCCCACCCCCTTGTAATCCCACTACTGTTGTACCCAGTCAAGTGAGAAGCCAACAGCTGTTGATGTTTCTGGTCCAGCGCGTTCGCCTTATCTCCTCGCTCCATTGGGTCTACAGCTGTATCATTTATCAAAATACATTAACTAGATCTCTGAAAAAAAAATTGGATGCACCCATCCCTTTTAAGTTGACTTTAAAATTTTGCCCCAAAGCTGATTACATGTTTTATTGTCTTTTGTTCATAGAAAACGAAAACATGACTTGTCGCTCGTAGGGTGTTTATATGTCTGTTCAAATATTACTTTATTAAATTATTAAAGTGATATAATGTTATATACGTAAACGATACATTCATCGCTAGAAGTGTTTTCACTAGTGCTAGATACTAGTTCTATAACAAAAACTATCAACAATGAAGACTTTTTTTAAATAGTAGCCTATATAGTATATTTGTTTTACATTGAAACGTTGGTGGTAAAGTGACCACAACAAAATGGTTCCGGTCGCTTTACCACCAACGTTTTAATGTAAAATCAAATATATAGGGGGCTATACATCATTTTTAGAGAAAGTATTGTTTTCTTACAGATTTTTGAGTTTAAAGTTTGGGTGGATGTGTTTGTTTTGGGCCCCCCTTAGACGAAAAAAATTGGTTTTCCAAGTGATATTTGTGTGTGTGTATTTATATGTGCCTGCATGTGTGTATGGATGTACATAAAAGCTACAGACCACAAATTTGGGCCAACTTTGTCACGTGGGTACCAATCCATAATCTGTGTAGATGGTAATTTTTCATATAACCCGTAAAATATCATAAAACCGGGATTTCCACAATAAGGGCAAAATAATATTGATTAATATGTAATGTTGTATTTGATGCCCTATTTAACAAATTGGTACAACCCAAATCAAGTTTACCCGCTAACATTTATGTTAGCGTAATCTTTAGATTACGCTAACATAAATGTTTGAAATGTTTAACGCTACACGTAAAAAACTTAGATACACCGTCCGCTTACCCATTTTTTAAGGGGTTTTGAAAAGCTAACATGAGAAAGTAAATGCTATTTTGCTGATGACATTTATTAATTTAGTTATACTCCATAATAAAACCATATTATATTTGTCCCCAGATGAGGAGGACCTGTTCATGGTGTCCGACCTCCTGCTGGGAGGCGACCTTAGGTATCACATAGCTCAGGATGTGTCTTTCACTGAGGAAGGAGTCAGACTGTACATTTGTGAGTTGGGGTCTGCCTTGGATTATCTACAAAGCAAGAGTATAGTGCACAGGTGAGATAGGGGAAAGTATAGTCTGTTGTGGGGAAAAATGGAGAAGTCTTTATTATATGTGGTGAAGTCGTATCTCGAGCCTTTCTGTGGCATAGAGGTGTTATCGTAATTACCAAGCTTTTTTGTGGATTTTGTTGACACATTCGCTTAAGTTTGTTTCTGTCTGGTACCTACGTAACATTTTTGAAGTAAAAAAATAGATATACAATTGCTATACACTACTAAACTGTAGACGAAAGAAAATAATTTATTGAGCATTATTAGGAGCTCAGAAATACTGCGATACGTTTGTCAAACTAATGTATGACACTAAAATAGCTTACTGTAAGAGTTTTTGGTTAAAGTAAAAATACCTTCAGTGCTTAATCTTAAACTTTAATTTATATATGTGATTTTTGAGATAACCGAAGAAAATTATCATTTAAATTTTTAGTGAATTTCCCATATAGAGAATAAGCTATTACCTTACACTTAATGGTATGACCTGGAACTGGGACCGATTTACTTTTTTCTTTTTTAGGTCCCCAGAAGCCAAAAAACACAATCCACTCAAATTAACCACCACTGACCAAATAATAGGTAGTGTAGGATGAAAAAATTACCAAATTTATTCAACACATATTTAAGGAGAAAATGCCGAAAAAGTTTTTAATTTTTAATTTATTCTTATGGAGAATAAACCAACTGTTGTGTTATGATACTGTATAAATATATGTTGATCAAATTTGGCAAATTTATTCGTTTCACCAACACTATTAACATTTAGAAAAAAAAACTTTTTACCTGCCCAGCAGCAGCAAACCTTGGTATTAAAATTCATTTCCATTCTAGCTCCTGAGCTGTTGTATTCAATATAATAAATAGGTTACATACCTTATAAATCCGACAAACAGCTCATTTTAATTGAAGGTCGTTTACATGTTTCGGCTTGTATCGGCCATTGTCAAAACGTTGCAGTTGGATGGTGAAATCCTTGTCATTGTTTTCTACTAAAAGTACATACACAAACACATACACACGGACGGGACGAAAACATTACGAAAAACGAATAAAACTTTAAATATGCCTATTAAATACACGGGCAGGACGCACGCACACCGTTGTCAAGGTCAGGATGCAGACTGCACTAGTTGTGTCGGTGTTGTCTTATCAGCTGATGTGGACTGCTGACCAATGGGCGTCGAACTCTGCCTTTGTTTTAATATGCTATTGAAAATGTGATGGGATTTGAATTTAAGTTTTTCATTCAGAATTACGCTCTCAAAATTGTTGTTCTCATTAACCTGTGCCTTATAAATTTCGAATTCTTCGAGAGTGTTAAGACTGCTTCCCTTTTGGCAAATATGTAGGATTTTAAGGCCTTTACTAATATCGTTCATATCATGGTTTTTATCGACCAAATGCTGAGCAAACGATGATTTTTGTTTTGTATTACGAGGATCTGGTCTATGCTCCTTGTATCTAGTATTGAAATCTCTACCTGTCTGCCCAGTATACGTGCTAGGACAACTGGCACAAGTTAATTTATATACACCACATTCGTCATATTTATCACCACATCTGGTTGAATTGTTTAAAATATTTACGGAACGATTAGTTGTTCTGAAGGATAGATTTATACCATGTTTTTTCAATTGTTTGGATAGGCCGTTATGCAGAATGTTACTGTATTCAACGCAAACATACTTCTCATTGTCCTTTCTTGTGAACTCAGATTTACTGGCTTTTGATTTATGTTTGTGAATGAGCTTATCAATTAAATTAATATGGTAACCATTGGCTATGGCAGTGTGTTTTATTATGCCTATTTCTTTCTCATAATTCGCAATAGACATGGGTATGTTCAAGAGCCTATGTACCATACTGTTGTAAGCGGCATGTTTCTGAGATGGCGGGTGGTAAGATGAGGCGTGGATTGTCATATCTGTTGTGGTTGGTTTCCTATAAACACTTTAATCAAATTTGTTGTTGATTTTCTCAATAGTGAGGTCTAAAAAGTTGATTTTATTGGCGTTTTCAATTTCCAGGGTGAATTTTAGCTTTGGATCAATGCTGTTTAAATATTTATGTAATATATCAAGTTGTCTAGCACTTCCATCAAACAACAGTATAGTGTCATCGAGATAACGATGGTACATTAGTATTTTATTTTTGAGTTTATTTTTATCAGAAAATATTTGTTCATTCTCAATGTGGTTAAGGTATATATCAGCCAAAATTCCAGATAATGGAGACCCCATGGCTAGTCCATCACATTGTTTGTAAAAGTTGTTGTTGAAAGTGAAATAGTTTTGATTAAGTATTTCCTTAAGTAGAACTATTATTTCATTTACTGCCTCTGGTAATAAATCGGAATCGGATAATAACTTGTTTTCAATGATGGTTAATGTTTTGTTGACAGGGACGTTGGTGTATACATTTACAATGTCAAAAGATGCCAACGTTGAATGCATTTTTATGTTTGTATTTTATTGTCTTGTTGATAAAGTCGTAAGATTTAATTAAACTGTAGTTATTTAAAAACTTAAAGTACGTTTTCAAAATCTGTTCTAGCTTTTTAGCAACTTTGAAGGCTGGTGCTGTTGTGTAATTGACTAAAGGTCTGATTGGTACACCGTCCTTATGGACCTTAGGTAAGCCACGTAACGTAGGTGCAGAAGGGTTGATCATTCTCATGTTTTTTATTTCACCCTCAGTAAAAAGCAATTTACAACCATTTAGTATTTTCTTAATTTTCCTTTGAGAGGATTTAGTTGGATCATTATTCAATTTAACTATGCCGTTATCCCTAATAAAGTTGTTTACTTTTGTAATGTAATCAGTCCTTAGCAAGATAACAGTGGTGTTTCCTTTATCAGATTTACATAACACAGCATCGTTGTTTGAGAGCTTAAGTTTGATGTTCTTCAATATAACCATTTCTTTCTTATGCATTGGAGAAACTTTACTTGTGTGGGACGGATTGTTGATCTTATTATTTAGACTCCTAGTTATGAGTACCCTAGCTGTGTTTTGGTCATCCTCATTAGGGATGGCTTTTATAGCACATTCGGCTTTAATAAACTCGTCAAAAATGGCTTTGTTACCAAGTTTTGGGAGGTTATACTTTAGACCCTTTTCTAGTAATTTAGTTTCTTCGCAATCAAATACAATATTCGTGTTATTGATAACTCTAGGGTAAAAGTCAAAATCAGATAAAATTATTGTCTCTTTATCTTTTTGTTCATGGTTTATATGGTTAATGGTTATATTGAAGAACATCAAACGTAAGCTCTCAAACAACGATGCTGTGTTATGTAAATCTAATAAAGGAAACACCACTGTTATATTGCTAAGGACTGATTACATTACAAAAGTAAACAACTTTATTAGGGATAACGGCATAGTTAAATTGAATAATGATCCAACTAAATCCTCTCAAAGGAAAATTATGAAAATACTAAATGGTTGTAAATTGCTTTTTACTGAGGGTGAAATAAAAAACATGAGAATGATCAACCCTTCTGCACCTACGTTACGTGGCATACCTAAGGTCCATAAGGACGGTGTACCAATCAGACCTTTAGTCAATTACACAACAGCACCAGCCTTCAAAGTTGCTAAAAAGCTAGAACAGATTTTGAAAACGTACTTTAAGTTTTTAAATAACTACAGTTTAATTAAATCTTACGACTTTATCAACAAGACAAAAAATACAAACATAAAAATGCATTCAACGTTGGCATCTTTTGACATTGTAAATTTATACACCAACGTCCCTGTCAACAAAACATTAACCATCATTGAAAACAAGTTATTATCCGATTCCGATTTATTACCAGAGGCAGTAAATGAAATAATAGTTCTACTTAAGGAAATACTTAATCAAAACTATTTCACTTTCAACAACAACTTTTACAAACAATGTGATGGACTAGCCATGGGGTCTCCATTATCTGGAATTTTGGCTGATATATACCTTAACCACATTGAGAATGAACAAATATTTTCTGATAAAAATAAACTCAAAAATGAAATACTAATGTACCATCGTTATCTTGATGACACTATACTGTTGTTTGATGGAAGTGCTAGACAACTTGATATATTACATAAATATTTAAACAGCATTGATCCAAAGCTAAAATTCACCCTGGAAATTGAAAACGCCAATAAAATCAACTTTTTAGACCTCACTATTGAGAAAATCAACAACAAATTTGATTAAAGTGTTTATAGGAAACCAACCACAACAGATATGACAATCCACGCCTCATCTTACCACCCGCCATCTCAGAAACATGCCGCTTACAACAGTATGGTACATAGGCTCTTGAACATACCCATGTCTATTGCGAATTATGAGAAAGAAATAGGCATAATAAAACACACTGCCATAGCCAATGGTTACCATATTAATTTAATTGATAAGCTCATTCACAAACATAAATCAAAAGCCAGTAAATCTGAGTTCACAAGAAAGGACAATGAGAAGTATGTTTGCGTTGAATACAGTAACATTCTGCATAACGGCCTATCCAAACAATTGAAAAAAACATGGTATAAATCTATCCTTCAGAACAACTAATCGTTCCGTAAATATTTTAAACAATTCAACCAGATGTGGTGATAAATATGACGAATGTGGTGTATATAAATTAACTTGTGCCAGTTGTCCTAGCACGTATACTGGGCAGACAGGTAGAGATTTCAATACTAGATACAAGGAGCATAGACCAGATCCTCGTAATACAAAACAAAAATCATCGTTTGCTCAGCATTTGGTCGATAAAAACCATGATATGAACGATATTAGTAAAGGCCTTAAAATCCTACATATTTGCCAAAAGGGAAGCAGTCTTAACACTCTCGAAGAATTCGAAATTTATAAGGCACAGGTTAATGAGAACAACAATTTTGAGAGCGTAATTCTGAATGAAAAACTTAAATTCAAATCCCATCACATTTTCAATAGCATATTAAAACAAAGGCAGAGTTCGACGCCCATTGGTCAGCAGTCCACATCAGCTGATAAGACAACACCGACACAACTAGTGCAGTCTGCATCCTGACCTTGACAACGGTGTGCGTGCGTCCTGCCCGTGTATTTAATAGGCCTATTTAAAGTTTTATTCGTTTTTCGTAATGTTTTCGTCCCGTCCGTGTGTATGTGTTTGTGTATGTACTTTTAGTAGAAAACAATGACAAGGATTTCACCATCCAACTGCAACGTTTTGACAATGGCCGATACAAGCCGAAACATGTAAACGACCTTCAATTAAAATGAGCTGTTTGTCGGATTTATAAGGTATGTAACCTATTTATTATATTAAACCTTGGTACTCGTTAAATCTATGTTAATTAAATACTAGAAATCTGACAACTTCAAGGAAAGTTTTGAGTGAAAATGCAACTAGTCAAATGTAGATTAGCTTACTCTGCAGGTTTGCTGCGGTATAGGTATTAATCATTGGCTGTGTAATGAAAAATGTGGGTATGTTGCTAGTCTAACTGTTAGCAATACTTTGTAGTAATACTTTATCCCAAAAACAACATTTTTTTATTAAGTAATACTTAATGATTTTATCGTATGTTTGTATAGAATATTAGAGCCAAATTACGTGCTATATACTATCCTGATGCCTAAATGGATTCGAATATAAATAATGATTTTTGTTTAGAATAATTTTTCAAAGGTAAAGGCTAAAAGAAAGGATATTATCGTTTTTCCTACTCTGCAGCCCCGCAGCGAGTCATTTGTTACATTTCGTGAAACATTGAGTGCAGAACGTCTTGAAAGGGCAACTCGTAAATTGTGAGTAGGTTTTAAGAAACTTTTATAATATATGTAACAATACTTTTACTAGAATAAAGATCATTGCCAGACTGTGTATACATTATATTTCTTTGTTACAGGGACATCAAACCAGACAACATTCTTTTGGACGAGGAGGGTAAGTTTATCATAATACTTTATATAGCTTAATAGTTGCTATTCCTATCCAAGATTGTCAAGGAGTTCGATACGAAGATCCATTAAAGTAAATAAAAAGTAAATAATTGACTTTCTCAACAATACTTAGGTAACAGATTATACAATATTTACTACCATCATTCTTGTGAATAATTTAATTTATGGTTTTGAATAATGTTATTTACATAATATATAATTTCAAAATAGGCTATGATGCTTACGATTGAGTTTAATGCGTGATTTTTTGTGGACCCTTAATTTATCATTGGAATATCGTTTAATTAACGCTATTTAACAAAAGGTTAAAGTTGGATACTAAATAACTAAATCAGGGTTTGGAATCCTTAGAAAAAGGATAATGGTACATGAGAAAACTAAATAAGAAACAATATTACAAGCTATTTATTCTCGATAATTTTATGACTGGAAATGTAAATAAATCTAAAATTAAAATAAATTACTGAAAATTCATCTGTATTGACTTCATTACAACTTCATTCATTATGTACAATTCAAGTGCTACGCATTGGATAAACTTATTAAAGGATTCCCCCAACATGGTATCATTAGTATGCGGTGTTTCAGCTAGCTTACCGATGCGTGTAATCCAATGCACCCTTCCTGGGATCGGCTTTTCCTCCTTTGAAACCCCTTCAAGGGTTACTTGAATCTGTAAAACCTAATTTACCACAGGGGAAGAATGCTGACCCATCAATATTATTTTGGAGCACAGGGCTTTTTATAGTTTTTTTTTAAGCTAGCCTTTTCAATTCAGTTCTTAGAATTTAAAAGATCAGTATTGTTTGCTTACTTAACAGCATTGCTTTATTGCTTTACAGTACACGTTTGGACCAATGAGGTTCAAGAATTGAGAGTAAAGAAGTACAATTGCAATATTTCGAACTTAAACTTATCAGCTGTTAGGGACAATTTAATTGATTATATAATGAGTGGGTGGTTGGGACAATTAGTCGTTGCATCACAATCAGTGACAGTGAGAGGTTATAAACTACAACGTCCTCCCTTAGACGTTTTTAGTTGTGAATTAATTGTTAGTTAAAAAAAAAACAGCCGTAGGTAAAGTAGTGTTTGCAACTCGCGTAAATAGCCTGTAAGACTATCTTTACGCGATGGTTGCTTAAACTAATACTACCAGTGCTTGACAGTTTAGTAACTAAAATAAAATGAAATTGTACCAACATAAGAAAGATAAATAATATTGCAAAGAAAATATGTTTTGAATTAAAAGTGTTTAATCTTATACGAGCCAATAGATTCTGGTTATTTGAATTCAGTATCGTATTGACTTTTTTAGGGTTCTTCAACACTACATGGGCCTTCATATTCGACAGTTCTTTTTTTTCATTGATAGATTTGTAAACCGACTGCCAAAGGTTGTTTCCATTCTATCCATTCATTGTATTATCGAACCGCCAAAGATCAGGCCTCTAAAACAAAGTTTTAATTTATATACTTATATTATATATTAGTATATCTTATAATAATATTTTATTTGTCTGATTATTATATACGTTATCTTATTTTTTTATAAAACTAGTTATAATTTTACCACAGAAAATTATGTTTTTCTACTGCAATTTTTAAACAGTAAGAGATGGAAAGAAAACTTAAATACGTAAATTGTTTGTTTAAAAAGGACCTTTCACGTAATATGAAATTTGTTATACTTTGCTATTTAAGAATTTTGAGTTTTCAGCTTTCTTTTATTCCAAAATTTTAAGATTTTTTAATTTGGTAAATAACGCGGAAAATGCCCTTACCACAAGTTTGGAAAAAGATTTGGCGCTGTTCCATCCAGTAGTTAGGGTAATACGGTACTTAACTTCAAAGTACTTTTTAAAAAGTTTTGATTCACCCTGTAAATACGGTTAAAGATACTAAATTTTTTGCACCAAAATGATGGGGGTGATTAGACTTTTAAATTTATGTATCAAACAAATCATGATTACATTTGAACATTTCTCAAAAAGTACCCCTTTCCCTTAATTGGACCCTTTGGGGCATTTTTCTAAATTGAAAAATATTTTATTGAATTTAGCATGTCAAAATTAAGGGGAATCAAAAAGAACAAGTGTTAAAAGCCTTACTCTTGTACACAACAGATACGGAAAGTTTTCAAATGAACACCCTGTATTGTTACAAAAGAGTAATTTTGAATAATTACTCTACACGATCAAGGCATATTCTTGTGTTAGGGTAGTAGAGCTAGATTATGATAAACTTAGAATTTCTTCTTATTTCTTCTTATGTAGCTTAATGGACTATTCAAGCCAATACAAGAACGTAATAAGCTTTTTTTATTAACGTGAATCAACTTACTATTTTACTCTTATACGACAATTATTTTAAGCCCAATTGGATTAATGTGTAATGCTTTTATACCTGTTTCTGTTTTTATACCTGTTTTATGCCTGTTTCAGGTCATGCACATATAACGGACTTCAACATTGCGACAATATTGACAGATGGCCAACTAGCAACCTCCATGTCAGGCACAAAACCATACATAGGTAAGGTTTTGATTATTTAGTAAAACAAAATATTGTTGGCTTTGAAATAAGCCAGTATATATTTCAAGATATTTGATAGCTATCCTTATTTTTTTACTAGTACTTTTTATTTTCAAATTGTGCAACATGTAATCTTATAAAACTTAAATTATAATATTTTAAACATTGCAAAATTACTTTATGTATTAATCTTATAAAACTTAAATTATAATATTTTAAACATTGCAAAATTACTTTATGTATTAACAGATATTACCCATTATCTTTACTACTTTGTAGTTACGGTTTAAGTAAGGTAAAGGTTGTTATTAGGAACTAATGTTCTCGTTGCTTGAATTCGAGCAATTGCTAAGTATAACAGGCGTTATTTTAAAACGAATTTCAACCAAGTCTGTAAATGTTTGTAGCAAACTGTTAAATTAGCAAACTTATTTACTGTTTACAATTAATATATGTTCTTCTTATCACTTTTAATTTCTGACAACAGCTGGAGTTTCATAACATTTTTTGTTTCCCATGTTAATCTTATGGAGAAATATGAAACTTTAAAGGGCCCCAGGGCCTCACTCTTTAATTATTTCCCTAAAAAGAAAGTTTCCACAACTTCACGTTACGCTCTTTCTAATGACACCAAAAACGTGCCAATCGGTGAAGTAGTTTCAGAGGAGTAATTGTCACAAAAATCTTGCTTGCGTATTATTAAATAAGTATAGATTTTAAAATGCAATTAAATTAATATGAAAATAAATAAATAAAGAACCCTTCATGTTGTTATATAAAAAAATAAAATATTTATTATAACTCTATAAATTAATTGTAAAAAAATAAACAGCGAAACAAAAGAACCGGAGTGGATTTGAAAAATAAAGACTTTTACTATAAAGGCATTATAACAATACCAGAAGAGCCGGAAATCGAGTTGGATCATCGCCAAGCCGATGTGAAGCTCGGGCCATAAATTCTGCTTTCCTGTACAATTCTCTGGCCTACTGGATAACGTTGTGACGCTAATTACTGCAATTTGCGCTGATATCTTAATTAGCGATGATTCATCCAATCAAAGCTCCAGCTATCGTATTTCAACTTAAATATTTGCACAGAATTCTTTCGAGTAAGGGTTTTAACAGTAAAATATTGTGATGTAAATAAATAAAAACTTTTTGATTAAAGTCATAACATTTATATTGAAAAAATTTTACCTAATAATTTGTTCTATCCACACTTTCAGGCCAAAGGTCTAGTATATTAAGACCATAGCATGGAACTGCTTTATTTATTATTTATAGCTAAGCTTAGAGGGTCTTGGATTATCACGTGGATAAAATCCATTGGTGATTGAATAATAAATATAAACCCATTGGGGCCTACGTGATCTACGTCTAGACCTTGCTTCCATTAATCTGTATGGTCAGAATATTAATTGGACTTAATACGTATTTCAAATTGAAGCAATAACTTTTGGAATGTATTGTTAATATTTATCTTACATTTTGACAATCAAAAATGTGTGTTTGACAAATAAATTTTTTGTGAACCGCAGCTTTTAATTCTCAAAAGAGAAAATCCAAAATAAGGCTAAATGGAAAAAAATCATGAGTTTGCCATGTTCCTGGGATATCACCATAACTATGATCTTAATCACTTTGTCTCGCCGCTATATTAAAAGGCCGCATAATAGCCTACCTAAAATTGAGCTTAAATTTATATCAGAATTATATCTCATGTTACTGTAATGTGAAAGTATATTTACCTACATCAGTTCACAGTAATTGTAATTAGTAATAACACTCTAGTTATTAATAGTGAAAAAATATTATTAAAACAAGAGAACAATTTAATCCAACATAACAAAATTATTCAAAAACATTTGGTCAACTGTTCATTGAGGTTTTTGTTGGCAATGCACATGTTACGTTACCGAAGGAAATAGTCCGTGCATTACTAACCACTGGTTAAGAAAACAACAGGTTTTATGAATAGTAAGCACCCAAAATCTTCTATCATTTTCAGTGAGAAGGGAATCTGAAACAACATTAGTTCAACAGGAAAACAGTTGTAGGAAATTAAAACAATACAAACAACATTAGTTCACTGAGTACCAGGAAAACATTTGTAGGAAATTAAAACAATACAAACAACATTTGTTCACTGAGTACCAGAAAGACAGTTGTAGGAAATTAAAACAATACAAACAACATTGTTCACTGATTACCAGGAATAGATAGAGTTGTAGAAAATAAAAACAATTCAAACAACATTAGTTCACTGAGTACCAGGAAAACATTGGTAGGAAATTAAAACAATACAAACAATATTGTTCACTGAGTACCAGGAAAACAGTTGTAGGAAATTAAAACAATTCAAACAACATTAATTTTAAATACAGCTATTAAGCCGATGATTAACACATCCACAGATGCATATCAATTCATCCCTCGGTTCCTTTGAAGTTGAAAATCTTTGATCTGGGGCCCGGAATGTTCGGAAACTCCACTGAATACTAAACATACTTGTTTAAACTTTTAACAAATTTATGTCAAACATAAGAGACACTGTACACAATATCATTGTTTGTTCAACAGCACCAGAGATATTCGCCTGCGTGGTAGACGCCTGTGTAGGCTACAGTTTCCCCGTGGATTGGTGGTCACTGGGAGTCACCGCGTACGAGGTCCTGGCTAGAGAGAGACCTTACGACATACATTCTGCAACCTCCATCAGTGACGTAAGAGCACTCTTCGGTAACCCCATCACCTACCCCAAGACATGGAGCGCGGGGTTCGTAGATCTGATCAGTAAGGTAGGTTGCCTGTATATTTTTCAATTGCATATTTATAGCCTATAGCTACAAAGTAGAAAGAAAAGATACCTAAGTAGAAAAATTATGTAAGTTGTATAAGAAGTTCAAGTTGTACACTGTATTCACATTACTTTTGGAATAGGTAGCTGTTTAAAAAGTGCAATAGTAACGAGTGCTGGGATGGACATAGTTAGATTTTATTTTGGTGTACATATGCTAAGGTTTTGCATTTTTTACTAAGCCATTTGCCTCATTCAATGTTTATTAAGGACTGTGATGTGCAAGAAACCTTTTTCGACGAATCTCAGGATAGCTAGCATAAACACTTGGGATCAAGGCACTAACAAAACCAGGGTCTACAGGTATATATTTGTGTTATAGAGTAGTTGGTTAACTGTTGAGTAAGAGGACAGTGTTTTTCTAAAAAAACATACTTTTATAACTCCGATTAAATTTATTTATACTTGGGTTACAAAAGCTCACTTATAGAATGACTAACAAAAACAACCTTGAGGAAGTTCAGCCTCTGGCTAAAATATCCATAAAATAAATTAAAATTCCATCCTACTAAGTTAGCCCTCAGCGTTAACATAAACACCTTCAGCACGTTTTCCAGCCAGCACAACCTTAGGGGTCAACAACACAGCTTGACTAGCTTACCTCCCATTACAGTTCTGTGGCACATATGAAGAGCTCGAAAATGAAAAGTTGTTCCAAGCTGAACAATGCAATGTGCAAACCAAGATATTTTTATATATGTTGAAAAACTGTCGCATTATGTATTAGCAATTCCAAAAAAATACAAGAATACATCAATTGATATAAATGAACAATACACATTTTTATTCTATTTAAACATTAAAGAGTTTTTCAACAACCTTACAGCAAAATCACTTTTATACTCAAAGTTTTAACTGTATTACCTTAACAGAAAATATACCTTTTTAATGCTCTTGAAGTTCTATGTGTTTTTAAACTTGAAGATAAAAATTTAACTTGGCTATGAACACATTATTTTGATGGATATATTGTAAATTCTGATAACAATCACACATTTCAAATCGTATAAAAATGATAATAATGGAATGATCACTCTAGAAAATATCATGGCTGCTGTAAAGTTATGTATTGATGAGTTTGATGTTTGCAAACAGTTGTTGTGTGTGGAGCCTGGAGCTAGGGTAAGCAGCTTAGAGGAACTTCGACAGATTGCCTGCATCAGAAGAGCAGACTTTGAACAGGTTCTCGAGAAACAAACAAAACCAGCCTTCCAACCACCGGTAAGACCCTATTGTGTACCAACGCGGTTTGTAAGAACCTTTAATAATACAATAGATACCATTTCCACCATAATTTGTAAATGGAGAAAACCAAATGAATAGAAAGAAAATCCCAGTTGATATTTGTCTTGACTAGATTAGTTAACTCTAACTGATTAAGGTATAGTTAAAATCAGAGTTTTATGTGTCCTGTCTTTTTTTTCAAATTAACTTGGAATAAGATATTTTAAAACTGCCAAACTGACACTATTTAGAAACTGTTCAAGAGTTATTATTTAGTGACTAGAAAGATTAACGGTTTCGCAGAACTTCATTGCTGTGGCTTGAACCGTTAAGGAGTTATGAATGTTTCTTAAAAAACAAATACATAGGACACATGTTGCATAGAATTTTCTTGCTCATTTTGACCTCCCTATGAATCTAGTTAAGTTTGTCCCAGTTTCAGTTTAGTTTGGACATCATGTAAAATATATTATTTGAACTTCAAGAAACATATCACTTTTGTCCTAACACACAGGAAATTAAAAAGGCTATGAAAGACTTTTTGAAACCATTGCTTTTTTAAATGCCTCGTTGGGGTTAAAGAGTCGTCACTGTATTGATCAATCACACTATATGTATTTTGTATTTACAAGTAGTTAGCTAATTATGCACCATGCCTACAATTTGCTATAACACGTTTTCATTGGGTATTTAAACTTATAGTAATGAAGGATTCTTGAATAATTTTAGATTATATTGAGTGCAAAAAGACGAAATATTTATTATCTTAAAAGGATAAACCAACAAATAACCCAACCTGCTTTCCAACCAGGTCATTGTATAATATCAAAACTATGTTCAGAATGTAATGTAATCCTGTCCTACATATAGTATATTATTAAATAATTTATAGACGAAGTTAATAAATCCAATATATATATCCTATTATTGTATTATTTAGTAGTAGAATGCATTAAACTAATTGGATAAAGTTTTCGAATCAAAACTTAAAGCTAATATGATTTTAGATTGAAGGATATTTTATTAGCGTAATGGCATGTGTCATGTGCAAAAACATAATTGCAAATAAAATTACAAAAAAATGTGCAAACAAAGCTTTCTTATAAAATAATTTAGATAGACGTTTTCTTAAAATGTGTTAAACATTATACCCAATAATGATATAAAATAATAGTATGTGGCTAAGGATATTTATATTTTAACACATGAAATAGGGGGGATAATTATATTCTGAATAGAAATGAGAATTAGATTGTGATATTTATGCGATGGCCAAAAATTAAACAAGTTTTGAAAGAGAAATCAAGTGTTTTTATTGTTTGACCTTGGTGATTTCTAGTATTGTATTTTAAAACAAAGAATCAATGCCATCCAGGTATTATTTGGAAGTTCAAAAAAGCAAATTATCAATCCTGTTACCTTTAATCATTTAGAATACCATTATAATTACTACTAAATTATCGCATTATACTTACATGATTGACTTGTTATAGAGGGACCATCTCAATTGTGACCCAACGTTTGAGCTAGAAGAAATGATAGTCGAAGCCCGACCTCTACATAAGAAGAAGAAAAGACTTGCGAAACAGAGATCTCTGAGGGGCTCAGTTAGCGTTGACATCACGGTAATACAAAAAATTGTTTGAGTGTATAGTTTACATTTTAATTTAACATTTAGCCCTTTAACCGTCTACAAATATGATAATGTAGTTATTGTGGACATTTTGTGAATTTTGCTAGTAATAACAATTCACAAAAAAGTTTAAAAGATGTTTGCTTTGTTATAATTTATTTTCCCTTCAACAATTTAAACAATATAATTTTTTTATTTTAACATTATTTGGTCGACGTTTAAGCAGTTTTAAGGATCCAAATCAGCAGTTTTTAGTATCTTTTAAGTGATTCTGTTAGTGGTCTGACAACTTACAGCTTAGAAAATATATATAAGAACACCCCTTCCCAAGAAACCTGGGTACGACTAGACTCTTTACAAAACTCTAACGAAAATGTTAAAATGAAACAAAAACATAGATCTATAATCGTTACTTGGACAAATGTTTACCAACATTAAACCTATTAGGAAAATTTAGTTCATTGTTAATAAGCTATATGATTCCATAACCAACTTAATTTTACCAAAAATATTCCTCCATTTATTTTTTTGTATGTGTAGTAGCAGTACAGTTAGTTGTTTACATGGGTTCCAGGGAAAATTGACCTAAATTTAACACTCGATTATATATTACTTTGGTGTTAAAAATGTTTACCTGCTCATTACTGTGAAAGTCATTTATATTATTTATCTTATTCAACAGGATGCTGATCTTGATGATCATCTGGCAGAGTTCAGAACCTACAACAGAGAAAAGGAATTGATAAGAAGAGAGATGGAGAGAAAAGAACAAGACTGGGAACAGGAGTTGACGCAAGCAATGAACGCCTCCTCAAATGATACAAAGTGATTATACTTTTATTTATTTAACATTCTTGCGAATTCAAGAAATATTTTAACAACAACTAACATTTTGGACTCGGTTTTCTGTTTAATTTTGGGTTTTTGGGATTGCATACTATTAACAAAGACCTTTAATTTGAAGGGCATATCAACCTATGCTTAAAAACCGTCCCCCTAAGGTGGTAGCGTATCACATAATGATGATTGAAAATAAGTGACTCTGATTCAAATTTTGTAGCTCTCTCTTTATTATTTTTTGAATTATTTAGCTGCCCCTAGGACCTTCAAAGCGTAAACAATAGACCAAAAATTGCCATTTTTGTTTGCATGTATCGTAGGTAATTATTTGTAAATATCGTGTTTTGCACTAAAGTACATGTTTATCGAGATACAGAAAACTTACCTCTTTTTTCAATTTAAACCTCCCCAGTACTCTTCTCCCTCTAAACCCGACCCTCAAAATGGTGTAACTTGTTACCATACAAAATGTCAACTATGTTGAAAAGTTTAAAATATATAGCTTTCACTTTGGATGTTGAGGTTTAGGTCTAATCAGGCCATACTATTTCTGTACCCAGTGATAAACAGTTCTTATCCGAAGCAAACGTAAGTTGACTCTATGATCCTACTAAACGAGTTCTCTGTAAAGTCTTAAGGCTTCTAAAATAAAATAAAAGTTATACCCTTAAACTTTGAAATTGTTTCAGCTGTCCTCAGCCTGGCCGAAGTTTGACGGTACCCAGTCCCAACCGTAGAAGATCATCTTGCAAGCTGAACGTAACTCCCTCCAGTGTACAAACCAGACTGGCTGCAACTCCTTCTAGAGCTCCGACCACCACTCACAGCCCTAGCAGTCCTCCAAACACCATCAAGAGCTTCAGCAACTCCCCTACGATTGTCGTCTCGGATGGCACGGCCATGCCATTCTACTAACACGGGTGAAGTGAAACGTGGTTTCAATTGTTCATGACGTTCACAAATGGAAAGGCATTACCACTCTAAATACTGATGTAGAAGTAAAAATATATGTCTCATGAAAAGTGATTATGGCTAAGCATTACGTTTACTGATATTTTTGTCGAAACAAAGGGATTAAAGGGCAAGTAAGGAAGGAGAAAGGGATGAAAAAACTACGTCTTCGATCAATGATGGTTTCACATTTATTGGATAATTGGTCTTATAATTGCAAACGTATGATGGATTGGCCAATTTATTTAGTAAAACCATTTTATTACAACTATTTGAAAGAGGGGCTGATTGGATGGGAAAGGAACGAATAGTGTTAACGTCTTTTTTGACCCCAAAATTAAAAGCTATCAGTTTTAAACCAGAAAAAAATGCAATTAATTCTTTTTTATTGCAGCTTCTTTATGGACTAAGGACAATTTCAATATCAAAAATACTAAAATGATCATCTCTAAACACCATTAATACCTTCCACTTTCATGATTGCAAGCCATCTGACTCTGAGGTACCATATGCATTTTTAACATTTGTTTAAAGTGTGTAAGTTTAAGACACAAGCTCATAATAACAGTCCTTACACCTTCTCGACATGCATATCATATAAATCAACGGGTTCTGTCAATTTAAATAGTAGTCTTTTGTATTTTTTTTACCACACGCACATTTGAATTGCTTATCTTAAACAATTTAATTTTTTCATGATTTTGTTATTAATAGGAAAAATGGTAAAAACATTCGGATTTTAATTGTGATAAGCTGTAAGGCACGATCAGAGTAAAAAATAACTCACCAAACTATGAAACGAAATTAGACTGTGCATACTTTACACAAAACATGTACTTCTTACTCATAGTATTCAATTTAGTATCCAGAACATATTTTATTAATGTTGAAAAAGATGTATAATTAGAACAGAATGGTGAAGGAAATGAGTGGGAAAATATACCTTGCTGTAAATTACTCGTAATACAACTACATACATCATTTTGATCTAAAGTCCATTTAAATGTATAAGAACAGTGTGTACTTGATTAATTGCATCATTTATTCTGTGTAACATAATGTTTTAATATAGGAAATTCGTTATTTTTATATAATATTTAGTTTCCAAAGAGAGAATTGTATTTGCTGGACCAATCATGATATAGAAATTAAAGCTGAAATATAAAAGAGAAATCCATTGTGGCTCACACAAAGAGACTAAGAGTTGAATAGTTTCATTGTTGCCAACAGTATTTCTGCACAATAATGACAATCACACAGGGCCAGAATGCTAATAATGCATTTGCATTGTTCTGGGCTTCATTTAAATGTACCCCTTAACACTAGGCTAGTAAAATATCAATTTTATTACAGTTTAAAACTGATTATTTTCTCATTTTATTACTAAATAGAGCACAATATGAAAAATAGATTTCTTTTAATAAACAAAAAACATATACATTGAACACTTGAGATATTTCGTCATAAAAAAATTTAAAAACCATGGCATCATATGATGCTGTCATATTTTGCACTCGTTAGTACATAAGTTCAGGGAACAAAGAATTTCATAAAAAGGGGCAAATAATATATGTTTTCTTGTTTCCTATTTATTGTTATTTCTATGTCTCCAAATTATAAATGACAGCACCTTGAAATGTTATTAAATAAAAGAATAAGCTAATAACTATAAAAACTAAGCTGTAGCTTTCAATTTGTAAAGGACCCACAACAGTTAACTACTAATAGTGAACTGTATAACTATACCATCAATGTTATAGTTAAGAGTTACCCATAACTCTTATTGTCCTTTATCACTAATTAGTAATTACAAACCATATACTTGTTTGATTGGGAATATGTAAGAATATTATAATACAACTGCCATTTACAGTGGCCATGCAGTTACATTATAAAACCAGTTTAAGGTGGTTTTAGTAAATTTTCGTGCAACCATTTATTAAAAGATGTCAATGTAAATTATCACATTATATTATTAACTTAACACAACTAAATCAAATATATTGTACTACACAGTATCATACAAAACATTTTATTTTTTTCATATAGAGTTATATAATTTATTAGAGCTCTATACAGCATAGGTAAAATTATTACAACTCTTTTGATTGCAAATAAGTAAGGTTTTTATAATTCGTCTATATTCAATCAATTAAAACTAAACAAAATACAAACCCCTAAACAAATCACTAAAAATGTATAGCACTAATCATAGATATGTTAAACTACTCAAATGGTAAAAATCATGTTACCATTGTAAAAATGTAAATAATAAATGCGACCACGGTAAATATTTTATTACTTATAAAAAAAATCTATGTCTAGAATACTATATGTTACATAACTCATTGCAATTAAAAACCAAGCACTTGTGATATGTAGCAGCATAATTTGTAAATAATGTTAGCAATAACTTTTGTATTATATAAATTAGATGTATGATTAAATTTTATATACGCCAATGGAATAATTATACGATATTTAAATGTAACTATTATTTTTATGAATAAACATAATATTAATAAATCATTTGTTTGGTATTCTTTTTCCAGTACCTTATCTTGGATAATGAATAAATAAAAAATATGGGTTTAAAAGGACTTGTCTAATTTGTTATCAAAGCCATTTAAACATATTTATGGTTTTCAAGTTTGTAAATCTAGGTTTAAGTTCAAAAACCTACAATTTTGTATATAAAAATCAAAATGCAGAACAATGTATTCTAACTTTATATACCGATATCCTGAATTTTAGTGTAAAATTTTATTTATTTACAAAGTCAAAATTGTAAGGGGTACAGTATATCTGTATTTCCAAAAGAAATACAAGAGTTTAAAGAGTGTACAAAATAACTCCCAAAAAAGCCTAATTTTAAATAAACTCAAATAGCTCAAGTGATAAGATTATGATTCTAATAAAATGTTTGTATGAAAAATTATTTTTAAATCATGCACAAAAAGAATTAGAGCTATTTTTGGATTGGATAAATATGAAAATTGAACATTTTACTGTATGTTTTCAGGCCATCTAGTGTTTTAAAACATTAAATATATTTGAAAGTAATTTGTTGAGGTTCATTTATAGAAAAAAAATTAAATAATTATTGTTGGACCAATTGTCTAAAAAGAATTATAAATGGACACAATGCGAGATTCACTCTGATATCTACTTATATTGTATACATGTATAAATTGGGTACGGATTTTTGAATAACCAGGTATAAATTAATTAATGTTCAAGCCTTTAAGTATGACTTAGTATGACCTGATCTTATCTCCAAGTATCATATTTTACAGCTGTTATCTAGTCCCCCCAGTTGCCCAACTCCATTCAAACTCTTTATTTTAATTATAATTATTTAGCCATTTAATAATTTATATTTACGCTTACATACTATAGTATGTTGAACATGCACAGTATAGAACACACTTTGATAACAAAACCAAGTAAAATCAATCAACTTCAACTGTGAACTTAATTCTGAGAAAGATTCAACTTGTTTGTTATTATAACTGATAATACGTTAATATCATTAAATATCCAATACTTTACGGTTAACCATAACACCTTTGTTACAGAATGAAGCCATGATATAACCACAGTAAATCCAGAAACGAGCAAGACGTTTGATTTTATAAACCGGAACCTCGATAAACAGTTTCTGTTGGTGTAAAGTTACTCTGGTGTGGCAAAATGCCAATCGATAACTATCAATAATTTACTTTCTAACTCTGTCTCTGACATTCGTTTTACTTGGTTCCTGTCGTTTCAAAAAAAAAAAAAAAAAAAAAACTACTATAAAATTATGTTATTTATTCGTAAAGTATGTATCAATGGAAAATGGTTTTGACGGAATAGCTCCCTAACTCATCTTTAAAAATAACATTAGAAAAGAAACGAAAGGGAAACTGAAAAGCCACGCAAGTATTCATCACATTTCACATGGAATTACGATGTATAATAATGCATCACATACTTGAAAACAGGCATTAGTAAGGGCGTCCTATATACAAACGTTAGTCACCTAAGAAAAAGCTTTCCGTTGGTAGTTACTTGGGTGCGACGGGCTGTAAATCAATAACTAGCAATAATTAATTTGAAACTCTGACGTTCGTTCTAATTGGTAGCTCTAGTCTCCGAAAAATACAAAGATAATAGAGCAATAGAAATTGCAGTTTTTACAAAACGTCTGTAAAATATTATGTTAAAAGAGAGAAAATATATTAATAATACGTGTAACTATTTCTTAGTTTTACATAGGAAGTATTATTAATGAAAATACATCAAATACTTCAAAATAGGTGGACATTAATAGAGGAAAAAGTAAAACCATTTTTGTAAGAAAAATTAGGGAACTTATGACAAAACATCATAATCAAAAGAACCCTCGCCTCAAACCTGACAAATGAAACCTATTCAGCTAACGCTCTCGTATTTTCTTCCTCGTTAAGAGCAGAGAAAAAGGGTTGGAAAGGAATAAGAGTTGGCAAAGGTAGAAGAGCCAAATTATTGCAGGGATTGATTACTGTGCCTTTAGGTTACTATTTATATTTCACCTCAAGGCTTCATTAATAGGGGGGGGGAATGAATTTACGGTATATCTCAATAGTTAATTAATCTTTTAGGGGTTTTCTTGTTTTATCAAATCATTCACATAAAAACCTCTAGTAGTTCTCCTAAATATACAAAATCCCCATAATAGTGTTACATGTAGTTTCATCGGTATTACATCTATTAGGTGCCAGATTCATTTTATTTAGGAGGCTTTGATTTTAAAGTGAATAATTTAAATGTGGTTTTTCTAATACGGAATAACATTATAGACACACATAATAAAACTCTAACGCCACTAATTCACTAATGGAGCAGTGGCGTGCAACATAATTGACATTTAGCAGGCGAGGATCAGGTGCACATGATAATGGTTTCGTGGAAAATGAATTATTCAACGAACATGTGGAGAGTTATGAAAATTCTTTCACTTGAATAGGGTAAAATTATGACTTTCAAAGCACACTTTTTTATTATTTGTATTATTCACACCATAAATATTAAGAAAAAGGTAATGAAAACCCCATCAAATATGATAATCACTGTCTACTGTATTTGTTTATAGTTACTAAATGAAATTGGT